AACCAAAGACTTACCTCTGGAGACGCCAAAAAGTTCATTGTTGATGGATTTCCGTCATTTCTATTTTTAAAGTTACGATTGAATGAAGTTAAAATGGCATTTTCTTCATTTTTCTCAATATCCGTTCTTTTCCACTATTGAAAATGCTCGTGTCAAATAAAATTTGATGGATACAAATCTAAAAAAAAAAAAAAAAAAAATATAGTTACCTGCCCTATGCAAGGCCCACAAGCATTAGCCAAAACGCGACCACCAACTTTTTGTAAGATTTCAGTTTGTCCATCTCTTTCCATTGTCGCACGTATTTGATCACTTCCTGGGGTAATATAAAAGTCACCCTTTGGACGTACACCTTTTTCAAGTGCTTGTGATACCAAGCTAGTGACACGGCTCATATCCTACACGTACGCGTACGTTTATATTTTATAAGGTTAGTTTATATATAACAGACATCATTAAAAGTTATAAATAAACTCGTTAACTTTGTAAAACAAAGACCTGGTAACTACTGTTAGTACAACTTCCTATCAACCCAGCTTTTATTTCATCTTTCCAACCATTCTTTGTAACAAAATCAGCGAATTTACTAAGAGGAGTTGATAAATCAGGAGTAAATGGACCATTAATATGAGGTTCAAGTTCCGATAGATTAATTTCAATAATCTGATCATAATGAGCATGACTATCAGCTTTTAGATACGAAGCATAAGAAGTAGCTTGTATGGCAACCGGATGACGTCTAGTCGCAGATAAATATGAGTGCATGCTTGATGTAAAAGGGAATACGGAAGTAGTTGCACCGACCTAAAAAAAAACAAAGTTAATCATATTTAAAATCGTATTTAAAATTATATTTATAATAGATATTTCATGGGCTGTTGTGAATATCATGAATTAACACGACAAAGCCGTTGTAATACATGTTGCTCACGACACACATGAAATATATGATATATTTCACGATTCCTATGCCTGTAACACCTTTAATAAAATTTTTACTGATGATGTCATACCGTGGAATATTTTTTTGATATTTTCACGGTATTACGTCATCATAAAAATATCATCAGAAATGTTCACGGGCGGGCGAACATTAAGGGCCGTGGAATATAGTACGTATTTAATAATGTAGCATAGACTAACACGAAACATTCAATAGACACGACAGGTACCTCAGCACCCATATTACATATTGTGGCCATCCCTGTACAAGAAAGAGTTTCAATTCCTGTACCAAAATATTCAATTATATGACCAGTTCCACCCTGTAAATATTTTAACCAGATTATGTTACTAAGTATTTATAAAACATGAGAAATAAAAAAAAAAAAATACATAATAAATGATATGTACCTGAACAGTTAATTTTCCAGCCAGATGTAATATTACATCTTTAGGGCTTGCCCATTCATTCAATTTACCAATTAATTTTACACCAATTATTTTTGGAGCTTTAAGTTCCCACGGAACATTAGCCATGGCATCAACAGCATCAGCACCACCAACACCTATAGCTATTGTGCCAAGACCACCGGCATTTGGTGTATGACTATCTAATTATATTAAATATAATTCATGAGATAATCACGTAGGAAATTTTGAATGATAAATATATTAAATATATTAGTATATTATATATATTAAATATATTAGATATATTAGATATATTAAATAGATCAATTACCAGTTCCAATCATAAGAGCACCAGGAGCGGCATAATTTTCCAAAACTATTTGATGAATAATTCCACTTCCTGGTTTCCAAAATTCTATTCCATATTTTTCAGATGCACTTTTTAAAAAATCAAATATTTCTTTACTTGTTATTTCAGCAGTCTTTAATGAGCAAAAATAAAATAAGATTATTGTTCTGGTTGTAAAAAAAAAAAAAAAAGACTGAAAAAGTGCATCGAATTCAAAGACAATAGCGATGAGTAAGTACGAATTTGATTATATTGTCGACGATATTTTTCAGTCATTTAACAATACGTTCAAGGGACATTCTTACTGATTAGATATGAACAAACCTTCAGGTCTTTGTCACTACCTTCATGTGCCTCAATCAAATGATCACAATGTATAGACGTTGGAATAGCCGTTGATGGCATTCCAGCAAGCATAAATTGAAGAATGGCAGTTTGAGATGACGCATCTTGCATCGCCACTCTATCTATTCACATCATGCAATCAAATTTGTATTAAACAAGATTATACTTTCGAATCAAGACTTTCAAAAAAAAAAAGTCAAGTCAAAAACATACCAGGTTTTAATTTCAAGTAAGTTTCACCTTTGACAATACTATCAATTTCTTTTGGATCCCATATATGAGCGTACAATATTTTTTCAGCTAAAGTCAAAGGTTGATCACCAACAATTCTTTTGCGAACAATTGACAAATTTTCAATCAACTTTGCATAGTTTGGTGTTATTTTAGAACAATCTTTCGGATCAGGTATCGAATGTTTAGGTTGATTAGTAATAGTAGCAAATGATCGCCGAAAATTTGGATGGATTGAACGAGTTGGATTGACTGATTGTGCTAACTTTGATATAAAAAAAAAAATTAAAATTTCAGAATAATGCCCCAGATATATATATATATTAGAAAAATATCATTCGGAATATATCTTTCAGACCTGATAGTATCTTCGTCCAAAAAATAAACATTTTGAATTCATTTTCGCGGAAAATATTGATAAAGCAGAAACTTGATAATTTATCCATTTCAGAATTTCATTTATATATATTATCTAATAATCTACAAAGTCGTTTGCGAAACATACAGTAGTGATACATAAAACCTGATGCACGAAAGATAAATCAGGTTTGTTATTTACACACCCAAGAACGGTGAATGTGTACAAAGTTAGAAATTGATACAAAAATGATCGAATAATAAGTTTGAACATAATTGTAAATTATTCGACAA